AAAAAAAAAAAAAAAAAAAAAAAATTCAGATAACTATTGTCCCTTGATGAAAGGAACTTAATTATACATTTTTTTTTGGCAATCCAACAAGGCAACAAATGTTTATTCATTACGAACTTACAATTCTAACATCACATAAAATAAAGGGTCTCAATCTATTTGACGCGGAGGGAGAGAGAGAGAGAGAGAGAGAGAGAGAGACTTCTTGTTTATGGCTGGAACACAACCAGGTGTTCATTGTTCGCTGTTCACTGTCGAGGCTACAAACATTCAGAATATGGTTCCAGCGGGCCTAGCAGTCAACATGTACACAGCACAGAAGGCATTCTTTATTGTGAAATTTATCACCAATGGTAGCGATAAGGGATTGGTACTAAGAAAGGAATGCACAAGACAAGCGGAATATGATACCAGGTTTTCCCAACAGAGATGAGAGATGGTGGAGACAGAATGACAGTGCAATACACGCAGAGAGACTTCGGTACCAGTAAGAACTGGAATGCAAGAGGAGTTATAAATGTCTAGCCCTTGAGAAGTCCTAGCTTGTCCAAGGCATTGCGAATATCAGAAGATGACCAATCCTCAGGTGTATGAACAATGTTGGGGCTATCCACTGGCATGACATCCAAGAGGGGATAGCTTCTACTAGCATGGAAATTGCTGCTTGCACTAGTGCAAACCCCCTTCAGTATCACACTTTTATGCAGCCCACCAAGCAATCCTTCATAATCTGTATCACCGCATTCTCCAACAAAAACAATCATTCTTGACAAGTCCACCCCCCAACGAACATACAAATACCTGAAATATAGATGGACACGTCAACTTTCACAGCATAAACTGTAGAGTTTTGTTTTGGCCAGCACATTATAAAATATTTACGATAAGACAGCATATCTTCTTCAAAACTAACAGTCCTGACAGTAGATGGAGATGTTAATATAGTTACCAAGTCAAGAAGCATGATTGTAGAGACTAAAACAAGCTTAAAAATAAGAATGATTCTGCCACTAAAAAAAATTGGCATTAAAACTTCACCTGAGAGCTTGGGAACGAGATGCCAAGACTGGAATCACATTTATCCTTGCCGTATTTTGACAATAAATAACATTACAACGGAGAGCTTGAATTCTCAGCAACTTTCGAAGCTCCTTGACAGGGGGAACCTGAAAGGACAGCAAGACATCATCAGCACACCGCGATCTAAACAAATTCACCCTCATTTGGGAACATACCAATTTCTCATGAGATTGTTTGGTTGTGGGACAGAAAGTTTACCATTGCAGCCTTTTTTGCTCTAAAAGCATAACAGTAGTTAGTTGAAAGTTGTTCATCTGCAGTAATTATCTGCTCCTCATTCTCAACCTTCTGATCCATGATTGAAGACGCCCAACGAAGCAGAGTTTTCCTCAATCCTTCCCCACCCCAACGATATTCAATGTGTGAGTGATAATAAAAGTCAATCACGAACGGACCATCTTCAGGATTAATGGCCGAATAGTAGAGATCACTACCGCTATTGCATATGAAGGCATCAAAAGCATTAGGGGTCAAACCTCCTGAGACCAGGAAAGCATGTATTTCTGATATTGTCATGAACGTGGACAAAATGAATCCTATAGAGCCTTCAGTCCTTTCCTTTTCCACAGCCTCAAAAATCACTTTAGTTGCTTCAAGAAGATTCTCACTGGAATCACAATCGACAGCTATAACAAAGAGATGTTTCCTCCTCCTTAATGCTGGAAACTTTCCTGTGCTTGTGTTTTGGTCTGCTGCTGATGCAGACTTTCGGTTATCCTTTAAAATACCTTTTGACCAGGCTAAAACAGCATTCTCTAACTTACTCCTCCTATCAGTGGCATTTCCTTCAGATTCTAAAGTACTATCGTTGTCACCGGCTCCACTTTTTTCTCCATCCAATGAAAACTTCAAGTTAAGAGAAATGTCCTGTATATCTCTCAAAGAATCACTTGGCGAATCTGATTCTGAACTTTCCTCTCCATCATTACTCCTTTGCCACTGGGGATGCCTTGGTTTACAACCGGCAATTCGAGACAAGTAGGTTTTACAATGCTCTGGCCATGAAAATAAATGAATGTTCTTCAACCCATTTTGTCGACATCTTGCCCAAAGCTGCTTATCTGCAACAAGCTTTAGAAGAGCATCAGCAATAGACAGCTGATCATGAGGATCAACAAGAAGACCATTGTCAAGCACCTGAAAGAACATACTGAGTAGAGTGGTGAGTTCTTTTCACAAATATAATAGCCCCTAAAACTAACAAATAAGTTCAATTGATAAGTCTTACCCGGTGTATATCAACAGGACCTCCATTCTTTGTGGCAACAATAGGCAAACCATGAGCAGCTGCCTGCAACACAAACAAGAAGGAAAAAAAAAAAAAAAAACACACACACACACACACATGCACAAACGCACACACACACACAAAAAGAAGAAAGCAGCAGCAATTCAATGTCCTGAACTAATATACAAAAAGTAAACCACTGATAAATACAAAATAGAGCACCTCAATTAAAGTAAGCCCAAATGGTTCGATGAAAGCTGGATTAATGAAAACACCCTGCACCAAAAGTTTTACATAAGAGCAAGAAACATTCACAATTTGTTTTTCTTTTCTAGTTTTAAATTACAAGAGATTCAAATAGTTTCAGAGCAGATGGTGGAGTTTAAAAACCAACAACCAGACATAATTGGAAATTTAGAGATATTTTCTCAAATGATGGTTATCAATAATAATATGGAGTTGTATTTCTCTTCAAAAGACACATAAACAAAGAACAACAAAATTGATGGCCAAAAAAAAAAAAAAAAAAAAAACCTTTACTATGTAAAAATAGTTTAGAAACTGTAGATAATAAAATATTGTTTTAAAAACTATTCAAACTTCCTTGCCTCG